CACAAAAAAAATTAAGATACCCAGGAATAAACTTAACCAAGGAGGTAAAAGACCTCTACCCAGAAAACTACAGGATATTGAAAAAAGAGATAGAGGAAGACATAAACTGATGGAAGAACATACCGTGTTCATGGATTGGTAGAATCAACATCATCAAAATGTCCATACTACCCAAAGCAATCTATAGATTCAATGGAATCCCCATTAAAATACCAACAGCATATTTCACAGATCTAGAAAGAACTCTCCAAAAATTCATCTGGAACAACAACAACAAAACAAAAAAACCCGAATAGCTGCTGCGATCCTGAGAAAGAAGAACAAAGTAGGAGGGATCTCAATACCAGATATCAAGCTATATTACAAAGCCACTGTTCTCAAAACTGCCTGGTACTGGCGCAAGAACAGACATATAGACCAATGGAATAGACTAGAGAAACCAGAAATCGACCCAAACCACTATGCTCAATTAATATTTGACAAAGGAGGCAAAAACATACAATGGAGTCAAGACAGTCTCTTCAATAAATGGTGCTGGGAAATTTGGTCAGACACATGCAAAAAAATGAAACTAGACCACCAACTTACACCATACACAAAAATAAACTCAAAATAGAAAAAGGACTTAAACGTAAGATGGGCAACCATAAGATTATTAGAGGAATCCACAGGTAGCAAAATCTCAGATATATGCGGAAGGAATTTCTTCACTGACACAGCTCCTAGGGCAGTGATGGCGAACCTATGACACACGTGTCAGAGGTGACACACGAAACTCATTTTTTTGCTTGATTTTTCTTTGTTAAATGGCATTTAAATATATGAAATAAATATCAAAAATATAAATCTTTGTTTTACTATGGTTGCAAATATCAAAAAATTTCAATATGTGACACAGCACCAGAGTTAAGTTAGGGTTTTTCAAAATGCTGACACGCCGAGCTCAAACATTCACCATCACTGTCCTAGGGCAATGGAAACTAAAGGGAAAATAAACAAATGGGGCTATATCAAAATAAAAAGTTTCTTCACAGCAAAAGAAACCATCAACAAAACAACAAGAAAACCCACTGCATGGGAGAACATGTTTGCCAATGATATATCCGATAAAGGTTTAATCTCCAACATTTATAGGGAACTCATACAACTTAACAAAAGGAAGATAAACAACCCAATAAAAAAATGGACAATGGACCTAAATAGACACTTTTTGAAAGAGGACATACATAAGGCTGAGAGACATATGAAAACATGCTCAAAGTCACTAATCATCTGAGAGATGCAAATCAAAACGACAATGAGGTACCATCTCACACCTGTCAGAATGGCTATCATCAACAAATCAACAAATGACAAACGCTGGCGAGGATGTGGACAAAAAGGAACCCTCATTCACTGCTGGTGGGAATGCAAACTGGTGCAGCCACTGTAGAGAGCAGTATGGAGTTTCCTCAAAAAACTAAAAATGGAACTTCCATTTGGCCCAGTGATCCCACTTCTAGGACTATATGCCAAGAAACCAGAAACACCAATCAGAAAGGATATATGCACCCCTATGTTCATAGCAGCACAATTCACCATAGCTAAGATTTGGAATCAGCCTAAGTGCCCATCAGCAGATGAATGTATTAAAAAACTTTGGCACATCTACACAATGGAATACTATGCAGCTGTAAAAAGGAAGGAACTCCTACCATTTGCAACAGCATGAATGGAACTGGAGAGCATTATGCTTAGTGAAATAAGTCAGTCAGAGAAAGATAAATATCACATGCTCTCACTCATTTGTGGATTATAATGAACAACATAAACCGATGAACAAAAACAGATGTAGAGACAGAGAAGCATCAATCAGATGCTCAAAACTCAGAGGGAAGGCAGGGGAGGGTGGGGGTGAGTGGAAAAGATCAACCAAGGGACTTGTATACATGCATATTAGCATAAGTGATGGATGTGGACAAGAGGGGGTGAGGGTGAGGGCAGGATTGGGGGGATGAGGGGACATTGGGGGGATAAGGACACATTTATAATATTGTATTCAATAAAGGGAAAAATAAAATAAAATAAAATTCAGAGCAAAAAAAAAAAGAAAGAAATACAAAGGATTGTAAGAAAATACTATGGACAACTAACTATAGGCCAAGAAATTGGAAAACTTGGAGGAAATGGATAAATTCCTAGAAATATACAATCTTCCAAAACTGACTCAAGAAGAATCAGAAAATCTGAATAGACCAATTACAACGAATGAAATAGGAGCAGTAATAAAATTTTAAAAATTCCCAGAAAAGAAAAGTCTTGGACTGGATGGCTTCATAGGTGAATTATACCAAACATTCAAAGAATTAACACCTATCCTTCTCAAACTATTCCATAAAATTCAAGAGGAGGGCCCTAGATGGTTTGGCTCAGTGAACAGAGCATCAGCCCGCAGACTCAAGGGTCCTGGGTTCAATTCCGGTCAAGGGCACATACCTCAGTTGCAGGCTCAAACCCCGGCCCTGGTCAGGGTATGTGCGGGAGTCAACCAATCAAGGTGTACCTCTCACACTGATGTTTCTCTCTGTCTCTCCCCTTCCCTTCCACTCTCTTTAAAAATCAATGGAAAAATATCCTCAGGTGAGGATTAACAAAAAATAAAATAAATAAAAAAGACATTCAAGAGGAGAGAAGATTTCCAAGCTCTTTTTATGAAGCCAACATTATCATAATTCCAAAACCAAATAAAGACACCTCAAAGAAAGAAAATTATAGGTCAATATCCCTAATGAACATAGATATTAAAATCCTCAGCAAAATGTTAGCAAACCAGATCCAGCAATACATTTAAAAGATCATACACCATTATCAAGTGGGATTTGTTATGGATATGCAAGGTTGGTACAATATTTGTAAATTAATAAACATGATACATCACAGAAATAAAATGAAGGATAAAAGCTGCATAATCAGATCAATAGAGTCAGAAGAAGCATTTGATAAAATTCAGCACCCACTTATGATAAAAAGCCTCAGCAAAGTGGGAATAGAAGGATCACACCTCAACATAACAAAGGTCATATATGATGAACCCGAGGCCAACATCATACTCAATGGGCAGAAACTACAAGGGTTTCCCTCAAAATCAGAAACAAGACAGGGATATCTGCTTTCCCATGCTTATTCAACATAGTTTGGAAGTCTTAGCCATAGCAATCAGACAAGAAGAAAAAATAACAGACATCCTAATTGGAAAGGAGGAAGTAAAACTATCATTAGATGTCATGATATTGAATATACAAAACTCTAAAGACAGCACCAAAAACTACTACATCTAATAAATGAATTCAGTAAAGTAGCAGAATAAAAAATTAATATTCAGAAATTAATTAATGGTGGCATTTTTATACATTAATAATGAACTATCAGAAAGAGAAATTTAGAAAACAATCCCACTTACTACTGCAACAACAAAAAATAAGGTACCTAGGAATAAATTTAACACAGAGATAAAAGATCTATACTCAGAAAATTCCAGGATACTGAAGAAAGTACAAGGAAGCTACAGATAAGTGGAAGCATATACAGTATTCATAGATAGGAAAAATTAACATCACTAAAATGCCCATGTTACCTAAAGCAATCTACAGATTCAACTCAATTCCTATCATGATACCAATGGCATATTTTACAAAATGAGAACAAATATTCCAAAAATTTATAAGGAATCTTAAGAGACCCAACTAGCCTCAGCAATCTTGAGAAAGAACAAAATTGAAGATATCATACTACCTGATATCAAATTATACTTCAAAGCCATAGTAATCAAAACAGTATGGTATTGGCACAAGAACAGGCATATAGATCAATGGAACAGAATAGAGATCACAGAATTAAACCCACACCTTTATGGTCAATTCATATTTAACAAAGTAATTAATTCCCTTTCAATGTGCATGAATTTGTGCACGGGAGCACTAGTCATCAATAAATCAAGTGCTGGTGAGGATGTGGAGAAAAGGGAACCCTTGTGCACTGTTGATGGGAATGCAGCCACTATGAAGAACAGAATGAAGTGTCCTCAAAAAATTAAAAATGCAATTGCCTGTTTATCCAGTGATCCCACTTTTGGGAACATATCTGAAGAAACCCAAAACACTAATTCAAAAGAATATATGCACCCCTAAGTTCACTGCAGTGCTATTTAAAATAGCCAAGATCTGGAAACAGCCCAAGAGCCCATCAGTAGGTAGTAGATAAAAAAAAAGCAGTGGTACTGCAGGGTCCATGTGACTCAGTGGTTGAGCATCAACTTATAAAACCAAGAGGTTACAGGTTTGATTCCTATAGAGAGAGAGAGAGACAACAGTGTGGTGATAGGGGAGTGGGGGTAGATGGAGGTGAGCAAAGGGGAGAAAAATGGAGATGGAAAAAGACTTTGCTTTGGGTGATGGGCACATGATACAGTGTACAAATGATGTTGTTATTGAGTTGTACACTTGAAACCTGTATGGTTTTGTGAACCAATGCCATCCCAATAAATTCAATTAAAGAAACATTTTAAAAGAATGGTTTTCACTGAAAATGTTACAGAACTCTTATAAATTCAATTTCTTAATAGTAATATATTGATCTTCTTGGGATATAAATTCACTGCTAATAATACTAAGCTGTAACAAGAAAAGACTTGAGTTTTCCATATGAAACATCTGCTCTGTTATTTCAATACTCAATAATCGCAGAGGCTTTGAAAGAAAACGTGACCGGTGATGTGTGACTCAGGCCTATACCTGTTGTTTGAACCCGTTTTTGAAATAATCTCTCGGTTTTTTCCCTTTGAAAACAGGATACTCTCCTTGGATGGGAAACTTAAAAATCCAAATGCAAAATGCAAAACCTTGACTAACCCTGCAGTGCTTTATCTGGCTCGCCACACACCGTACACACTGTAACATTTTATGTACGTCTCCTAAGGTTGCATTGACCTGGGAGGGCTACCACGCTCCTCCTTTTGCACCTACTTCCATCTTAATGTCGTAGCTCTGGCCGAGGACAATCTGTATGAGCTCTCTGATCGTCTGGTCCGAGGCCAGCTGGGCCTCCGACTGCAGCGAGGCGATGATCTCCTCGATGGACGTCGGGACCACTCGCACGGGCAGCGGCGCGAGCAGGACGGCCGCCAGCCGGTCGCTGGCCGGGAGCGTGTCCGCGCTGCTTTTGGAGGACGACCTGGACGCTGCCCGCGGGACGGCGAGCGCGCCCTCGCACAGGACCTGGGAGCGGATCCGCACCCTCCGCCGCCGGATGGCCGCCTCCGCCTCGCCGTCCTCGTTGGAAGTCCTGGGAGTCGAGCGCCTCTTCATCTCTCTGGCGGCCAAGGCGCCTTCGGGCGGAGCCAACGCCAGCTTGGGGACCTGCGCCGGGGCCGGGACCCGGGCGGGGGCCGGGGTCGGGGCCGAGTCGGAGACGCGCTGGGCCTCTGCGGGCGGAGGGCTCCAGCGCTCCCCGGGCTTCCTCCTTGACGCAGGGGGCGGCCTCAGGACCACGGGTCTGGACGTGCCGGCTCCGGTGGCGATGACCGGCGGCTCCTTCGGGGGCCGGTGCCGGAGGAACGCGGAGCTCCGCAGGTAGAAGTCCCGGGGGCGAAACCGCCGGGGCCTCCAGGGCGCGGCCCCTCCGCCGGGGTCCCGGGGCCCTGCGCCGCGGAGCGCCCGCTGCAGGAGGGCAGCCGCGGGGATCGCGGGGCCCTGAGGCCGAGGGAACCCGGACGGCTCCCGGGGTCCAGCGCAGGGAACGCCCGCCTTCTCCCCAGACCAGGTCGGGCCGAGGGCCCTGCGGTCGCAGACCGGGGCTCTGTCCACTAACGTCTTGGAGGCCAACTCCTGCTTCAATCGGAGAAAATCCTTTTTGGTCTGCCGGCGAACCTTCTCATGCTCTTTAAAGATGTACGATTCTTCTCTATAGCTCAGTCCAAAGTGCTTCGAAATCGTGGACATCTTGACTAATTTGTCCTGCAAAATAACAGTATGTTAACATATAACAAAAGTTCTGTTGACAAACATTCCAACTCAAAAAGCTTATCATCGCAGCCCGCTCCCTGTGCTCCCCGAGACACCAGTGGGCAGTAGCACTTTATATCATTTTAAAAGCAACTACTGACCTTTTCACAGGATTCATGAAAAACCTTTAAAGCCTTTGTTACGGTTTCTGAAACCCCTATTTGATTTATTGTAACCCTAGAGACCCAGTTCACTAAATTCTATTCTGCACTGGGGGGAGGGTCCCTCAGCCCACGGCGCCGCGCCCCCTCGCAGTCCAGGAGCCCTCAGGGCATGTCCCTGAGGCAGGAGAAGCTCCCCGAGTGCCCAGCCCGGCTTCTGGCTGAGCAGCGCTCCCCCTGTGGGAGCACACTGACCACCAGGGGGCAGCTCCTGCTTTGAGCGTCTGCCCCCTGGTGGTCAGTGCGCGTCATAGCGACTGGTCTTCCCCTGTTTGGTCGATTTCCATATGAGCCTTTTAGACTATAATGTAGTGTCCCACTTCCATAGTGCACATAGTACACAGAGACCATAGTGCACACAGGCACAGAAAACCTCAAGCAGTCTGGCAGGATAGCACTTGCCGCCACCTCCTCCAGCTGGTCCTGGGTGTCTCCATCCCTTACCCAGCCCTCTTCCCTCCATGTGCCACCTGAGCACCAGCAGCCACAAGGTAGGCTGCAGTGAGATCATGAGGCCTTGCAGGCCAGGTGATTGAACTTTCTCTGTGAACTACTAGAAACTATTCCAAAACTTTTCCATAGAAAAGTGATTTGACACCATCTAGTGCTGGAGGGATATTAATTTTGAGTGGGAGAAACAGTAAAGGGAGGGACAGCAAATAAGAGTATCCACAGCTTGAGCCTTAGGCCTGACCTTGGTAACCAGCAGAGTGAAAACAGAGACCTAACAAGGTAAAACTGATAGGATCTGGCCAATGATTAGGAATAAGTGGGAGCAATTAAAGCTCCTTCATAAAACAGAAACTTAGAATCACCTTCATAAAGTCTTGGTCATAACCAAATGCATAATAAACCTTCTGCTATTCACTGCACTGTACACTTAAAAATGGTTAAGATGGTAAATTTTATGTTTTGTGTATAGGCACAATTAAAGAAAAACACTTCTGCTATTCAGCAGGGCAAGTTCTCTATGATCATAAGTGGATTTTGAGATGTTAAGAGCTCTGAAGTCACTACCAAAAACAGGACAGGAAATATAAATAGAAAAGGATCAATGACAGATTGTTTGGCAATGTCACCTGTGGCAGGTAGGATGGGTGAGAGAAAAAATGAGTTAGGAAAATGAGAACGGAGTTCCACCGAAACCAAGAAGAGAAGAGTTTCGAGAGTAAAGATAAAAGAACCCTGGCAGATGTGACCCGGTTGAGTGTCACCCCAGGCACCAAAAGGTCACCGGTTACCCAGAGGTCGCCAGTTCCTGAGAGGGGATGTTCAGGAGGCAGCCAATCAATGTTCTCTCTCTCCATCTCCCATCCTCTCTCTCTCAAATCAATAAAAACATATTTTTAAAAAAGAATAAGGGTAAAACAATGAAAATAAAAGCAGAAAATAATGAATTAGAAAAACATTTATTTTTTAGAAAACCCAAGGCCAAGGTTCTTTGACAATAAATAAAATAATAAAGCAGAAACACCTCTGGAATGTCATCATTGTTTCCAAATATGATTATCTACCTACAAAACCTAAGCACTAAAAGCTAATCCTATTTAATAAAGAGGGAATATGCTAATTGGCCCTCATGCCATCGCAAAGATGGTGGCGCCCACAGCCAATAGGAGGGAATATGCTAATTGACTGCCCTGCCCTCAAAGATGGCAGCGCCCACAGCCAATAAGGAGGGAATATGCTAATTGATTGCCCCGCCCTCAAAGATGGTGGCACCCACAGCCACAGATGGCAGCGCCCAGTCTCCTCAGCCCCACTGGGGTGGCAGGTGTGTGGCAAGGCTGGGCCCACCCCCAGGGGGCCTGGCCACTCTGCGTGCCTGCCTCTGGAGTCCCCCAGTCCCCTCAGCCCCCCAGCCACCCAGCCGACACCCTAGGCACAGGCAAGCCTCAGATGGTGGCTGCCCACCTACCCAGGGTCGCTCAAGGCACAGGTAACCAGGGCCGGCCAAGGCTTGTGCTGCAGAGGTGTGATAGGGTGTCGCCTTCCCCTGATCACCAGGTTGCCTCCCACCTCAGAGGGCTCCCAGACTATGAGAGGGGGCAGGCCAGGCTGAGGGAACCCCCCTCCAGTGCATGAATTTTCATGCACCGGGCCTCTAGTTAGTATTATAATAGAGTTGTACAAGGCATTTAAATTTTAAAATAACTTCATTTAAATCAAAATGGTGCATTCAAAAGCAAAATGTTAAAATTCCATTATATAAGATTTATAATTTATTTAAAAAGTATCTAGGGATAACAGAACAAAAAAGTCCTAAAACTGCATGAATTAATTTTTTAAATTTTTCTGAAGTACATAGAAGAGACTCAATTAAATAAAAAGTTAATGTTCCTTGGTGAGAAGACCAAATATTTTAATTATAGCAGATCTTTCCAAAATACTGTATTGGTTTAATGCTATCATAATCAAAATCTATTTTAAACTTTGAAGAGTAATTCTGAATTTATTTGAAGTAATAAACAGTAAATTAGCTAAATTTTGAAAAGGGAAATGAGTAAGCACTTGTCCAACAAGATAATTAAAACTTATATGGCCCGGCCAGCATGGCTCAGTGGTTGAGTGTTGACCTATGAACCAGGAGGTCAGGGTTTGATTCCTGGTCAGGGCACATGCTCAGGGTTGCGGGCTCAATCCCCAGTGTGGGGTGGGCAGGAGGCAGCCAATCAATGATTCTCTCTCATCATTGATGTTTCTCTCTCTCTCTCTCCTCCCTTCCTCTCTGAAATCAATAAAAATATTTTTTAAAAAACTTATACAGATACAAGCATTAAAACTGATACACTGATACTAGAATCAACATATAGACTGAGCAAAAGAATTATGAATAATATGGCTTATGTTATAAATACAGTGTTAAATTGGTGATAAAAGAATAAATATTAATAAATTATGCTAAGGTGAATGGTTGAATATAGTATGGGGGTAGGGAGGGAAATTACACTTCAATGTATGGCATGCTTCAAAATACAATGGATTTAAGACTTAGACATGGAAAATAGGTTCTTTTTTAATTGGCATTTCTTTGCTTAGCAGCTATTTACATTTCTTGGTTGAATTCTTTGTATCAATTCCTAAAAGAGTTATTTTTACAATTAGACTTCTTCATTTGTCATACGGTATGTGAAATATGAAGAAAACATCCTATTTATCAGCCTGTAAATATAGTCATGTTACTTTTAATTTCCAAAATGTCCATTGCTGTCTCTCAAACCCAAGACCCTGCTACATGCAGAGCTCTCATCTGTGAATCAGTAGGCTTTCTTTCTCTGTGCAGCTTCACTGCTGACCAGACCTTAGATGATTCAATTCTATCTGTAATAAGACTTCATATTAAAAAGTGAAAATAATAATCTTTTGCCTCTTTTTCAGGCTATAATATATGAACATTAGAAATTATTTCTAAAGCTCTCAAGGAAGTTTCCTTATTTTTAAAATGCTGTAGAATCTTTTTTATAGTGTTTTGACTTATTGTTTGCACAGGTGGTAATAGGTCTATACTGACACCATCTGCATTTCTTTCTATAAAAGACTAAAAGGTAGTGCCTAGAACAGAACACAGACCAAAAATACATTAATGCATTATGAGAATTTGACTTGACTCTCCCAACTGCACTTCCCTTTTTTTTCTTAGTTCCTGCTTTGTATTCCCTTCCCAACTTCTCCTGGCTTATAGTTTGTTGTTGACGTTTAACAGGTGGTTATTGTTCAAGATTTCTCATTACATTCTATTGAGTTCTTCATAAGAAAGTTGCTCTTTATATGTTAAAAATAAACCAATAGGAAATAGAATTAGTTGACAGGAACTTCTATTGTGTTTTCAAACTAGGTGGTATCCCAATGCTAAATGGGCCAGTCCATCAAAGCTTGGTGCCTTTATAGCCCCACCCCCACCCCTCAATTCTGCAAAACATGTAAAATCCTTTTTAAACATCCAATATTATGGGAAAATAATGTGCTCTCTTTTTCTTGGTAGTAAATTATTAAAAAGAAGAGACTAGGTCTGATTTGAAGATACTCAAGGAAAAATGATGTAACCATCACAAAAAAGAAAGTATTAATCTACATAGGTATTAAGCATGCTGCTCATAATCCAGGTTGATTAAGTTTATTTTTTAAATTGGGAAAGAGTGTGCTTGAAATCTTTGCAACCTGCGCAGTAATTTCACTCTCCTCTTTTTTCCTAATGATTAGAATTCTGTGCTTTTTCCTTCCTGCTCTACCAGGAGGGTCAATGTCTAAGAAATGAGGTAGTCAGAAAGGTCTATAGCCAGCCCTCTCTCCTATCTCACAAGGTCTGGTCAGACATAAAAAGGAAGCTCACTGGCCAAAAATGGCTAAAAGTCAGGAAGGGCTACCTGTGTGAATGCTCTAGTCTCTGGGACAGGTTGCTCTCTGGTTACTGCAGGTGTAGCTGTTCCTCCTATTAGAACAGAAGATACAAAACTCTACTCTAAACTCTAACTAAGGTAGAAATAAGTAGAGCGGACCACCAGATGACTTGGCTGCAAGTTCCATGAACACTTCATATGGCGAAATGAGTCCTTCTACAGTAAGCCTAGCTGATTTGAGTAGTGCACTGGAAAGGAGTTATCAGAGTCAGACATTGGGAACGGAGTCAAAGCCGCAGCTGGTTATATGGATTACTTCACCTTGACCTCCTCCACTCAGTGGGGAGGGTGAACCACCAAGAATAAGATTTAGGTTCTTTGGATCCATTGCCAAATATCATCTCAATTCACTTCCTAAACTTCACATAAACATCAACTTTCACTGCACAGCACTACAGTTCCAACAGGAACATTTAAGCCAAAGACAGCTTATTTCATCTAATAAAATCATCAGCATTGCAGAAAAAATGAAAATATTCTGAAAACAATATTTGCTCTTGAAATATCAGCGGTAGAAACAAGATCTCTTTGTGTATTGATGATAATTTATGAAGAAATCTAAAAGGAAATATACAAACATTTTAACAATTTTGCTAAGAAAATGGGATAACTTTTTTCTATTTTTCCACACTTTCAGGTGCAGGGCAAGGCAGAGGCAGTTAGGGGTAATCAGGCCAGAAGGGAAGCAGTTAGGGGCGATCAGGCCAGAAGGGAAGCAGTTAGGGGCGATCAGGCCAGTAGGGGTGCAGTTGGGGCAATCAGGCAGAAAGGCAGAGGTGGTTAGGGGTGATCAGGCAGGCAGGCAGAGGGGTTAGGGACAATCAGGCAGGCAGGCAGGTGAGAGGTTAGGAACCAGTGGTCCTGGATTGTGAGAGGCAGTTGAACATCCCCCAAGGGGTCCTGGATTGGAGAGGGTGCAGGCCGGGCCG